CTTGCTTCTGCCACAAATTCCCCCCGCTGTGAGCCTTCCAACCTTCTAAATATTCCTATATATGTGGTTCAGAGTCCTGGGACCAGCCCCTGAACCTGCTTGGTCAGGTATTCTGTGTTGTTGTTGGCGGAGCTCTCTGCTATATGTCCACCCGATCCGCCATCTTGTTTGTTGTCCGAGGCTGTAAATCTTTGCGGGAGCAGAAAGCCTCATCTTTCCTGCGGAGCAGCTGGTAGTTTCGAACTACTGACCTTAAGGTTCACAGCCCTCCACCAGAGTTCCTTAACTCCCTATTAATAACAGGCGATTTGAGAGGGGCCACAAGATGGCGCCATCTCCCACAGAATGGTCACAGCATAAACTCCAAGCCAGTGAAGGAGAACTTGTAACAAAGAACCTCACCATTTAGGTCAACAACTCCCTGTTGTCAGCTGCTGTGAGTAGGTCCTAGCTCACGGACCCCAGGCACTACAGATCAAACACTGCCTACACCCTACACTGTCCTTCACAGTCCTTCCTGTGGTCTGGTCTGGTTTTGTTTTTTTGCTGACCCTACAAAGCATAGGAACTTTGGTAGCGTAGTGGTTACAAATCGGGCTGCTAACCTCAAGGTTGGCAGTTTGAAACTACCAGCTGTTCTGCAGGAGAAAGATGAGGCTTTCTGTTCCTGTAAAGATTTGCAGCCTTGGAAACCCTGTACAGGGTCACTATGAGTCATGCTACCTTCTCCAGTGACTGGTCCCTCCTGACAGCATGTCCAGAGTACTGACGAAGTTTTGTATACCTTTGAAGGAGTATTTAAGCTGTATTTCTTCCAAGAGAGATTTGTTTGCTCAATGTTTTTTGCCAATACCATAAATCAAAGGTATCAAGTCTTTGGTTTTTCTTATTCACTGTCTATGAGGTAACAAAAAACCATGGCTTGGGTCAGGTGCATTTTAATCCTCAATGTGACATCTTTTTATTATTTAATACTTTGAAGAGGTCTTTTGCAGCAGATTAGCCCATTGCCTATGTTACGTGCTGTCGTGTCATTTACGACTCTATGCAAAACAGAACAAAACATGGCCTGGTCTTGCATCATCCTCACAACTGATATGTTTAACTCCATTGTTACTGCCCCGGAATCAGTCCATCTTGTGGCTTTCCCCTTCTTCATTGACCCTCCACTTTACCAAACATGATGTCTGTGTTCCAACATAGATTTGTTCTGGCAGCCCAGGGTACTTCCATTGCTCTTTACCAACATTAATTCAAATGCATTGATTCTTGTCTGCACTTTACTCATTGTCTAACTTTCATATGCATATGG